AGATTTTCTAAACATTTTGTAAAACCGTTTCTCTTTGTTTTCAGAAGACAAACCCCCAACTGCTCCCTCTGAACAACTGAGTTCTGAGCCAAGTGTTTTAATTCTAGTCTTCTCATACATGTAGTGAGTTCCCTGCAGTGTTCCAGTGTTCAGCCTGTGTTCACCGCTTTTAATGGAGTGCCATCTTGATTCAGGTCGTTTCAGGCCTTGTCCACACATAGTTGGGTCTTTATAAAACAAATGTCTTTGTCACATCGTTTACAATAATAGTGTCATGCACACAGGAGAGTTTTCATCTCTCTCCCGCACCAATCAGCCCCAAACATTGTCTTAAACATGTCAAATCCATAGAGGGCAGTATAGCGCAAAGCTAATGGTAGCCAATCAGATTGCTTCAAAACAAGAAAGACTGCTGGTTAGGAATTAAACATGGTGTCAGGATGTTAATTTATGAGGACACATATAAAGGTTGAACTACTTTTATATTCATAAAAGAATATAAAGCTAACAAAAATCATGACAAAATAAGTGGATATAAAGTAGACTGTTATGCTTTGGAGCCTAAATCTCCGTATTCCCATGTACACATGCAGAAACCATTTTCCCAAAATTCCACTTTGTTCAAAGGTTTTGTAAATAATAATTTTAGTTTATTTATTTACAATAATAATTGTAAATAATAAACTGAGTTTTCATGTGGATGAAGGTAAGGCAGGTAAGGTAATTTTATCTATACAGCACATTTGCACCAACAAGGCAGTTCAAAGTGCTTCATATTCCCGTTCTGTGTATAGTGAAAGCTCAAAGCGTATACAAATGTATTAGTTTTCCCAGATATACAGCTACATCTGTTGGAAGATGAGTCCTAAGAGAGCTTTGGTGACTGAAAAGCAACAGGCAGCCCAATGGAATTCAAGCATTACAGCTAGCAGCCATTACTTACTCCTGGCTCCCAGGAAGATGCCCGAGGCGCAGCCGCCAACAAAATAATTCAGTGGGTCATCAGGAGCCTCTCGGGCCTGAGCGGTGAGACATGTTGTCATTCCGAAGATGGCTCCCATAGTGGCTGGAAAATGCAAAACTGCCAATATTAATGTTCAATATTAAAATATCAAGATGATGTGTAGACTTCTCAGTAAGCAAAGAACTTTCTGAGATCTGTGACAATGTTGAGGTCAGTGCTAAAAACATCATCTGAAGCACTGAAAGTCTGCATGTTCATGACCAACAGAACATGGGTTCCAGATCTATTAGTGACAGATGTCTAGTAATGCGTTATCAATCATAGCAGCAATATTAATACCAGATATCGATATCGGCCCACTTCAGATCAGAATTGACGTCTGAAGTGACTAACTTCAAAACAAAGTTTCAAAGTCCTGCTACTGGTTTGATTTTAAAAGATGAAGTATTTCCTTACTTGTGAAACCGATACCAAAGCATAACTTCACAAGAGATTGTGATTTTTTAAACATTATTTTTCAGGGAAGAATTCTCAAAAATTAATATTTTAATAAGACTATTTTGGAAGCAAAACTCTATTCTCGTATTGTTGTGACTTTATTCTTGCAATATTACAAATTCATTCTTGTAATAAACAACATATTCTTCTATTATTATGATTTTATTCTGATAACATTACACCTTTATTCTGAAAATGAAAAAATATATATTGCTAGCCTTACCCTAACACAAGAAAACCAAAATGTTGAGCATTAATGGTCATCATGACCATCAGCTAATATAATCCAACCTTTTGTCTTAATTCAAGCAGAAAGCAGGAACATACTGAGTGATATTCTGACATGTCTCTTAAAGGAAGCAGGAACACCTGCCTGCTATCACCGTGTCTGACAACCGCCAAAACAGCAGAAACAGAAATATTTACAACACACACTATTCACAACAATCTGAATAGTTATTTCCAATTTTTTTGAATATGCATATTTTAATGAACTTACCCATTGTGACCGTTGCACTGGCAGCCCTCTGCATTGCTTCCAATGCAGTATCAGGCTGGAATGCCACTATATGATAGGCTGAACCGATCAGACCTGAAAAACACAATCATAGGTTCATTTAGAACAAGAAGCTGGGCAGCGTCCAGCAGCCTGGACCCAGCTGGATCTCCAGAACACATGAAGGAAATAATCAGGTCATCAGCAGGACTCTGCAAAACTTGACCTCACGCTGATGACGTCATTCAGACGTCTGATCAGGAGTGTTGGGCCAGGGACTCCTCTGCAGCACACCAGCCTGGAAGACTGGAGCTCAACAACCCGGTCCTGAACTGACGTTGTTAAGCAGCAGGTTTCTACGTCCTGTCAGCCACTGGCTGCAAATAAGCGTCAGGAAGTACAGCACGACATGGTGGACGCAAACTGGACAGTCAGAATTTCAACTGTCGTTCGGAAATGAGGACAAGAACGCCGACATCCATCCTGAGTTCTGTTCGGAGAACATTTCCAAACCCAGCACTGACCCCGGAGCTCTTTACATCCCGCTGGATCTCTGTAGTTCTGAAACACTCAGTAATGGATTTATGCTGAGGAACCATCACCCAGCTTTTAGATAATAATAAAAAAAACTTGAACAGATTCCCTAAATCCAGCGACCCTGATTCATTTAAGCCCATTAGCTTAGCTTAGCTAGCTGCTAAAGCGCTGTGTTTCCCGTAGCGGCCCCCGGCCCCAGAGCACCGTCTGCGGCCTGATACATACCCAGAGCTGTGCCCAGTTTGGTGGCGATCCATGTCTTCTCCACGCAGTCTGTCCCCTCTGGAACATCCCAGTAACCCATCACGATCCGCGGTGGTGCAAGGTCAACACCGAAACTCTTTCTCGTATGTCTTCAGCCAGTGGTAGAAACTATACTGCCCCCTACAGGTATGAATAGAAATCCGTCCATCGTCTGGTTCGCAATCTGAGGCACCGGAGCCGGAATTGGATCTCCGGATAGCTCAATAACTTTAGATTAAATGGTGAAAAATAATGTAACGTTTTAGAATGTAGATATAAAATGCATCTATGTCTTAGTAGTTTTGTGAGACTTTTAATGTCGTAATTAAATTAAATTATATTAAATTAAATTACAGAATGACACTGACTAAAAAAAGATTTCCCAGTGCTAAGAAAGCAGCAGGAAAAAATGGAGGAGTTGAGTTGCTGCTTTCTTAGCACAAACAGGGAAATATTTTTCTTGGATGCAAATCTCAACTGCATCACTGAGACAGTCACTGCCTATATCTCCTTCTGTGTTGACTCTATTATTCCTCAAAAGACAGTAAAGAGGTATCAAAATAACAAATGACATATAACAAAGGAATTAAGTGAGTGCATTGCCAGGAAAAAATCTGCCTTGGCAGGAGACAAGGCTGGTATTAGAGCAGCACAAAAGGATCTCTATCAGCTGCTGAGAACAGCACGGCAGCAGCATAGGGAGCAGGTGGAACGTGAACTGTCTGACTCAAACATTAAGGGAACGTGGGACTCTATCCAAGTCGTGACCAGGGGGCTTCCAAGTGGACCTGGCTGCACTAAATGAGAAAGCAAAAGCAAACGACATAAACAGTTTTTATTTACGGTTTGAAACTTGAAAGGAGTGTTGGCAAATATTAGACGATGTAAATTGTGAAGCTGAGAGCAGAATTGTAATTGATTTACAGTCAGTAACTAGGGTCTTCAAGAGTTTAAACACAGGGAAAGCAACTGGCCCAGACAATGTCTGCTTTCCTTCTCAAGAACTTTGCAGAGGAACTTTCTCCAATTTGGCTTAAACTTTTTCAGATCTCTTAGACACTCATTTGGTTCCAGATATTTGGATCAATTGTCATTCCAGTTCCAAAAATTGCAGGTCCTCAAACTGATAACGACTATCACCCAGTAGCGCTCACTTCTATTGTAATTAAATCATTTGAGAAACTCATGTTGGAGCTACTCCAAGTGGAAGTGCAGCCATTTCTGGATCCCCTTCAATTTGCTTACGCTAGTAGACGTCGTACCAGTGATGCTATTTTGACACTGTCACACCTCACACTAAAGCATCTGGAGAACTCTGCAGCATATGCTAGACTTCTTTTTGTCGATTTTAGTTCAGCTTTTAATTCCATCCATGTAAAACATTCTTCTCAGGAAATTGGTACAGTTGAAGGTTAATCCTTCTTTAAGTGGTATTATTCTTTTTTATCAAAGAGATCTCAGCAAGTAAAATTCTCTGATTCTATGTTAATAGCACAGGGGCTCCAAGGTTGCGTCAGTTCAACTTACCTTTTAATTTTGTACAGAAACGAATGTGTTAGTTCTCAACCCAATCAGTACATAAAATTTTCAGATGATACTGTTATTCTGAGTCTCTTAACAGACAATCCCGACAGTCATAAAGCTGATGTATACAAGTTTGTTTTATGGTGCGACTCTCATAAGCTACAGATAAAATGTTGAGTTATTTCTGGATCCTAAATCAATCAGTGACTGGAGTCCTATAGTCATACATGGCTGCTCCATCAAACGGGTTACATCTTTTAAATATTTAAGTGTATACATGGATGGCCATCTGAGTTGGTGCACACATGTGACAAATGTGCAAAGGTTCACCAGCATCTCTATTTTCTTAGATGACTTCGATTGTGTGGCGTTTCTAATTTTTTTTTTTTTTAATAGGGCAACCGTCAAGTCTTTCAGATATGGCATTACTGGATGGTTTGGATATCTTACTGTTAAATTAAAAACTCAAATTCAAAGTCTGGTGAAGATAGCAAGTAAGATCAACACCCCAGATCTATCTTCTCCACAACAGCTGTTTGAGCAGGCTACCAAATTGTGCTCTTAATAGTATAAAATTTTACTCCTAATTTAATTGAACTTTATTCCATATTGTGCAGTTAAACATTAAATTAAATTCTAAAATAGAACCAACTTTAACTTTATTACACTCACTAAGCAATTGTTTTACAGCCATTATACACAGCTGAGTTTGTAAGAATACAATGCATAGACCAGAAATCAGTATTTGAACAGTCATTTTTATTGTTCACAAGAAACAGTATGGAACAATATAAACATTTGCATCTTCATGACTGTATGACACCTGTAAATCAAAAGCTCTTCTACATAAATAACATGAGGTCCGTCTCTTGTACACAACTTGAAAAGCACTGAAATGCTCATTCAGACACACTGTTTGCAGTGCAAATGTAACAAACAGTAACCGCTCATCTTTCACAACAACATATAGCCCTCAACTCTGCAACCCTAGGATTCACTTTGGTTGTCTCAACATCTATCTCATAAATGGCAGTCTGCAGAAAATTGTACACATTGACCAGATCATGGTCATATGAAGTGCCGAACACAAAGTGAGCTTTAAAAAGCTCATCAAAACAGGCAAGAGAGCCTGGTGATTTACAAGGTATGGCATGTTCGTCAATCACAATGAAGTACTTATGAATCACACTCCTCTGTGTCCCTACTGCAAGCAGGTATGGTTGACGCCTTTCTGTGATGCCATCAAGGTGCCCCTGGATGTTGGTTCCTGGTTCCCGTCTGTGGCAAAAACAGAATAAAACATAATTAGTCTTAGGTTTCATAGATGAGGCAAATTACTTTTCAGGACCTCTTTAATGTCACTTGAAATGAAATTTAAGACCAACTTCACAAAAAAACCCCAAATAAATTAAATAAAAATAAGTGAATAGATAATTTTGATCAACATAAATGTTCCCCTTACTGTAACCTTACCTTGACAAACTTCACAAAATGTTCACTGGCTTGTCTGGCTGAGAGTTTTCCTGGTCTCTTGCGGCCGTGAGGTGACAGTGGCAGGAGGTGCACTAGGATCAAAATGGATGACATGTAACTGTCCCATCCTGGAAGAAAAAGTAAAATGAACATAAGCTACCAAAACTTCTTATTTGCAGCAGTGTTAACACTTCCAGAGTCAGCTTACCAAACAGTGACGGCAGGAGGAGGTGCATTTATATTGGATCAATTTACATAAAATTCTGTTACATTAAACACTTTCTTTATAATCCAGTCCAACTTACCATTTTCCACTTCTGTTGTGCCTTCAGCATTGTGAAGAAGGTTCTGAAGGTCATCAGACTGTGTGAGACCACGGCTTTCTGCTTGTAGACAGTGGGCCACTTCTCCAGGAACTTTGCAGCGATGGCTTCCCCAAACATCAATGTAAGAATAGATTGAAGTGAAGGTTTTAAAAATCATTTTACTAAACTTTGCTAAAAGTAGGTTAAGCTGAAGTGAAGATAAACATACTAATCCTCCTATGTCCAGGAATCTTGGGAAGTCCAAAAAGATACTAGATGACTTCACTGGGTCATGAATCATCTTCTGGTGATAGTTGAAAGTCTGTTTCATCTTCTTCATAACAGTTCCTTCATCAGCACAATGGCCTCAGAACACAAGCTGTCATAAGGCAGTCTTCTTCTCTCAAACAGTCCCTGTCAGTTGTTGGTCCCCCTAAAAAAAATTATATGAATGTGACACGCCATCTTAAGATTTAATAAATAAGGCTTGGGAACTTATTGTGCAGTTTGGTTGCAGGATGAGATTTGTACAAGTATAAGTACACATACCTGTCTGGGGACCTTCTTTTGTCCATTAGAAGCTTCTCTCTGGACAAACTTCAGTCTCCAAGCCAGATACCCACTCCCATCTTCTGCATTGTAATAATGCTCCTAAAAGTAGGTGAATGATAAATGTTTTTAAAGCTGTGAAAGCAAAGACAGCCATGAATGCTAGAAGCTGTGATTTACAGATTTTAGTTCACATTGTTTGAATTGCATAGATAAAATCTATTCACAAGGTTTATTCTTCAAGCTGCAGTAGCCCAACACTGGAACAATGAACTCTACAAAGGTTTGAAAATTGGAAAGTTAAAAATAAGTGGCACAGATGCAGGGCATGCAAAAGAGAAACAATTTCAGTTCTACTCAAACCATAGCCAATAGGTTGGACTTCTGTTTTGAACTTACATAGCCAAATCTGCTCTTAGGATCAGCCAGGTAAGGGAACAAGGTAATAATACCCTTGCATAGTCCTCTTTGATACATCTGGAAGTTCTTGTCTTATAGAGACACAGAAAAAACTATGAGCATTGTTAAAGGAGTAAAGAACGCCTTCAAAACAGGCAATTGTGAGAGGTGCATACAAAAAATAAATAATTTCAGCATACCCATGTTCACTGGTCATTTGCGCAACCAATATCTTGACCATGTCACGCCATCTGTTAGGCTTTTTGTCTGTGCATATTCATTGATGATCCTGTCTCCTCCTGGTTTATTCTTAGAACATTTTCAATCATCTTAAGTGATGGTAAAAATATAAATCGATACATCACAAAAACACTGTACACAAGACAATTACAAATCCTATTTTATTTCATAAAAAAGAGACAGTATTAGAAGAGCTATAATAGTCATTAGTAGAATAGTAAGTTATGTTAAAAAGCACAAATAAAAACTTCAAGAACTTACATTTTTTTTGTGAAGTCCAGAGCCTTCTATGGTAAGGATCTGGACTAAAATGTGCAGAGATATGCTGAAGGAAAAAAAACCACAGAAAGTGCTTTTTATAGAGTAATTTATATGTATATTTATATAATGTATTCAGATTTGTAAAAACTCTTTGGAAGTCTGCACAGTTATCTGCATAGCTTACTTGGGCAAGAGAGGCGTCTTCAGTACTCTGTCATGTTGCAATATAATGGTGTCATCGGAGTCCACTTCAGTTTCTCCACTGGAACTGGTCAAGGAGCTGCTTGCTGCACAACTTAGCTGATGCATATGATTATCTAAACATTTTGTTGGTAGAGTTAACAGTAGCCAACACACTAAAATTGAGAAAATTGTTTCTCTAACCCAGTGGTTCCCAAACTTTTTCTCCTGCGACCCCCCCCCCAGTGGTTTCCAAACATTTTCTGCCCCTCCTCATGGATTACAAATGGCTGGTTGAACGATGCGTGAGAGGCGGGGTGGGGGGAGAGGATTCTTCCTGTCACTATAGGAAGGTGGGGGAAAGGGGGTAATTAACCTTTTTGGGGGCAAAATGAATGTACGTAGCTGAACATAGACAACAACATCGGTAGCCTACAAGGTACTTGTTAAGCTTAAGGTTCTGTATTGATATTAGCTAGTCATCTTTTAGCTAACATTACCTGCATCCAACAGCTTTACTCAACTCAGTCGGTTAGTTTGGAGGGAAAAACTGTGAAAAGTTCTTTGCGTTTTGCTGGTTTGCTGCCGTGATTCTAACACAAACCTACGTAGCTCCGCACAGCAGCAGCAGGTCTCCTTCACAGGTGTAAACCCAGCGCGAGCGTCGTAGCGCTTGTGTTGCGTTTAAAAGCAGCTCGGAAAAAACAGGTTACCACATGTTAACAATGGATTGAACAGTTTTAACTGCTGATAAAAGTGACAGAGGACACAGATATGGGAAGTGTGAAAGCCTCTACTTTATCAAAATGACATAGGAATAACAGAGAGTTGGCCATTCTAAGGTAAAAACCCAGAGCATACAGCATTCTTTTTTTTCTTCTTCATCCAGATAGCTTCCCGTGCCCCTCCTGCAATGGCACGGTGCCCCCCTTAGGGTGCTCGCCCCACAGTTTGGGAACCTCTGCTCTAACCATATAAGTTGTTAGAGAAACCGTGTAAAAAAAAAAAAAAAGAGATTTTAAATAAATTAAACTATCAAGTCACCTGATGAGCTCTTCTCGCACGAAACAGTCCGATACAAACACAATTAACTTATGCACGTTTTTCTGTGTTCATTGTAATTAACCACTGAAACACTAAAAATAGGTTAAATTGTTGATGTAGCATGTTTCCACATGTGTGAAATGCTACAAAGGTGAATGCTTTTATGATCTCATCCTAGATTGGTGATATCAAATGGACATCAACATGTCTATACTGATCTGGAAAGCAATTTCTATCCCTATTGGTCAAACCCATAAGGATGACCAAAAATAGTTCACAAAAATAAGCAAATGACACTTCAAAACAACTTACCTTCTGGATTGAGATCTTGTGCTTCACAAATTTCCAGCACACCAAGGTTTGGACTTTTCAAAAGGAGCTCAAAAACCTCCTCATCCACTTCAGTCTTTGAGTCAAAGACTTTTAAGTCCAAGGTTGGGATGCTGAACTTTTTTGCAGCTGTGAACATAGCAAATTATGCATTTATTCTATATTTGAACATATGTAAATAATTCAAATAAGACAAAAAGTAAAAATAAATAAATCTGAAAAGTTGGTAAAGCACCTATTTTGGCACCATTCCAAAAACATTTTTGATAAACCCAATATGTGAAAATGCTGTAAACTTGTTTTGTTTGCACTCACCACATTCCAAAAACAAACTGCAAGTCAGTTGGCCTTCAAAACAGATGTATTTCTGTCGATCTCTGTATTTGACACACACAGCTTGCATCCTGCATTATATAAAAATATATTTTTCAATAATCATATAAACATACTTATCAAAGTGAATAAAAAATTAAGATAAAAGGTTGGAACCCATCATGGGGAAAAAAGCACTGGGTGGCTAACAACTGTCCTGAATGGGCTAGGCCAGAGGTGGGCAATCCTGGTCCTCGAGGTCAGGTGTCCTGCAGCTCTTA